ATGTGTGGTGTGTATATATGTATGTGTAGTGTTGGCATGTGTGTATATGTATATGTATCGTGGTGTGTGTGATGTTTGTATAGTGGTATGTGTATGGTGGTGTGTGTGGTGCATGTGTGTGTATGTGTGTATGGTGGTATGTGTGCATATGTGTGTACAATATTTGTATCTGTGTATATGTGTGCATGGTGGTGTGTATGTGTGTGGCGTGTGTATGATGATGTGTGTGTGGTGTGTATATATGTGTATGTGTAGTGTTGGTATGTGTGTATATGTATATGTATGGCAGTGTGTATAATGTTTGTATGTGTGTACATGTGTGTGGTGTTTTTAATATGTGTATAGTGTGTATGTATATGTATGGTGGTGTGTGTATATGTGTGTATGGTGTGTGTAGTATGTGCATATGTGTGTGTGGTGTGTGTAGTATGTGCATATGTGTGGTGTCTGTATGTGTGTGTATATATAAATGTATGATGGTGTGTGGTGTGTGTATATGTGTGAGTGATGTTTGTATGTGTGTATATATGTGTATGGTGGTGTGCGTGGTGTTTATATGTGTATTATGTATATATATGGTGGTGTGCATGATGTTTATGTGGGTGTATGTATATGTATGGCGCAGTGTCCAGTACACATACACACATACACACACACACACACACACACACACTGTCCTCAGGGCCCTTCCTCAGGAGGCATGAATTTAAGCCCATGCCTTTTTCTGGGTGAGATGACCCTCCTCTGCAGGGATGGGAGATTGGCTGGTGGCCCCTCCATCCTTAACAAAACTCCAATTTTGGATAAGGCAGAAAAGAGGCTCAGGAAAGGAACATTCTTCCCCAGCCCCAGAAGAAAAATCCATGACTAGTTTAACACACTAAGTCCTGCAGAGGGAAAGATGAGGAGACTTTGGGTCCTTGACAGCACCAGCAGCCTACCAAACCATGCCGGGATTATTTGCTTCCATAAATCCTTATAGACACAACAATTAAATGAGAGAACGAGCTGAGTGTAACTGTGAAGGGCAATGGCTGGTTATGAATCCCAGCTCAGCCACTTACTTGCCCAGTGACCTTGGGCAAGCTACCCTCTAGCATTTCCTCTTCCATAGAGGGCGAATGTAGCATTCACACCACCATACAACTGTCAAGAGAATCAGATGAGTCAACATAGGTCAAAGCCCTTGGTGCAGCAACGGCACAGGCTCTGTGTGAGCATTCCCTATGGCCTCGTGTCCATTAAGTCAGGGTGTCTTCACTTGCACACACAAACCACCTGGGGATCTTGGTGTCATGCCGATTCTAACCCAGTGGGTGTGGGATAGAGCCTGTGGTTCCGCATTCCTAACAAGCTCCCAGGGGATGCTTCTGCTGCTGCTGGACTGTGATCCACACTTTGAACAGCAAGGGCTAAAGTCACAGCCTGCTGGTATTATGCCACCCAGAGCCCAGGACATATCTGCTGACAGAGGCCCCAGCTGCAGGCCCCCACCCCCTGAGGCCTGGCTGGAATCCTGGCATTGGCACCATTCTCTACGCCTGTCCTTTGCGGTTCTCACAACCACAAAGTGCCCTACGGTGGAAGTTCCTGAAGGACACAGTTTCCATGGTGCCCAGACCAGCGGCCTAGCATAGTGCAGGTGCTCCATTTACATTTGCTGACATAAAATCCCAAGTGGGGAGACCCTCTACCCCTGCAGGAATATGCATGCCCAGTAACCCAGTGTCTGGTGGCCCATTCCGGCAGCTCTAAGGACTGCAGCCTTTTGGGGCTGCTCAAGGGAGGCTGGGTTCCTGTAGACATCTGCTGTGTTGGCAGGAACCCAGGAGGTGACGAGAGGGGAGGATACTCACACCTCTTCCTGTTTCAGAGCCTGGCACCTGGGTTAAACCAGTGCCCCAAATACCTATAGAAAAGAACAAGGAAGCGGAGGACCACAGCTCAACACCCTCTGTTCCTTCCACCCAGGTACTGGGTGAGGTGGCAGCACCTGGCTCGTCTCCACCAAGACTCAACCCCACCTGGGAGGGCAAGTCTGTGCCCACTGCTGGATCCAGCATCCCCCAGATAAGCTGAGCCTTCCTCAGCTTGGCTCAGCCTCCCCAAACTTGTAATACCCACCACAGCCAACACCTGCTCAGTGCTCACTCGGAGATGCACTTCATAGACAGCACTGCATTTGCGGTGGCTCACCCTAACTGGTGCAGGCAGTTGACCCTAAATCTGAATCACAGTAACAATAAATCATAATAATAGTGACCAATGCCCTGCAGCTGAGTGCTGGGCCTGGTTCTATTTTCCATATTCATTCAGCCCTCATAACTTCTCTATCGGTGGCCCCCTCTCTTACTGTCCCTTCTACAATAAAGAAAATGGCTCAGAAAGGAGGTAACTTTCACAAAGCTTCATGACTACTGAGGAGCAGAAATGAACCACAGGCCAGGGCTGCCTGACTTTTGTCTGTTTTGACCCTGTCTGTAACATGGTTGGACTCTGGTTTCTCTGAGCATATTTCAGCAAACGATGCCCTGAGCCCCTTTCCACAGCCCTGTCATATTTATCTTATGATGCCCCCACTATGATGTTTCCCCTGCCCCAGTTCTGTGATAGGCTGAACCTGCCTTTCCTCTTCCATGACACGGGACTGTGGCCTCAGTGTGTCTGCTGCCACCTACAGCACCACACTGCCTCCCCAGGACCTGGTCTTCTTAATCTCCTGAGGCCAACATGATGTCTTCTGGACTCCCCAAGGCTTAGAGGTCATAGATGTGCTCAAAGACACCCAGTGAGTCAGCAGCACAGACAGGTCTGGGCCTCAGGCCTCCTGAGCTAGACTAGCATCTGTGAGTAGGAACTCACTGCTCCCCTGGTGCTTAGATAATGTCCTCCAAGCTTGGCTGCCATGCCAGGTGTCCTAGGTGACAGAAAATGCAGGCTACAGCCCCTCTCCTCCCTCTCTTCTCCTCTCCTCCTCCCCCCCTTCCTTCTCGTCTTGTTCCTCCTCCTCTCCCTTCCGCCTGTCCACCCCTTTTCTCTCCCACTGGAAAGTCTCCCTCGAGGTGGGTGGAACAGCTGCCCTGCCAATGCCAGGCCATTCATGAGGCAGGAGATGCCAAGGGTGGGAGGGATGGTGGGGAGGGCAAGGCTTTTAGCCAACAGGCGCCCCAGCTGAGAGGCAGGGGGCAAGGCTTTTAGCCAACAGGCGCCCCAGCTAAGAGGCAGGCCACCAAAGGCAGAGGCTGAGCCCCATTCTACTGTGTGGAGTCTGCACCCAGCCCATGTTACATGACAGGATAAGACACTCAGCCATGGCTGTTTAGCAGAACCTCTGCAATGAGAGGTTCTGCAGTGAGTCTGCTTCCTGTCATGTCTAATACAGCTGCCACGAGCCTGTGTTGCTGCTGAGCACTTGAAATAGTGCAGCAGATGAACACAGTCATTTATTTTATCTAATTTCAGTTCATTTACATTTTATACAGCCATAGGCACCAGCCATGTGCCACCAACACCTGTACAGGACAGAGTATACCTTAACTTTCCCAAGCCTCAGCTTCCTCGTGTTCAATGACAAGGGGTTAGACACCCCAGGCCCCTTCCCTGCTTTAGAGGATGGCTGGGAGAGTGAAGCAAGGTGGTAGGGTGGGGCGAGGACTCCTGGGTTCCAGATAATAGCAACTGTGCTGACCCAGGGTAGGCTCCTGAACCCCTCTGAGCTGCCTGGGTTATCTGTGCAACACGCAGTTGTTTGGGATCTAGGTTTCTTTGCTGGGGACTCATGAATGTACAGGAAGGGAATCTAAGATTCTCCTGTCATTATGGGAAGAGTGGGTTTGTGTGACTATATGTGGGAATGATCGTGTTTTTGCTTGGGGTGGGGGCAGAATTCAAGATTTCCTACAATTCTCTAAGACTTCCACAAAGGTGAAAAGCCTCTAGTCTAGGTGAGTCCTTGCGGAAAGCTGAAACACTGACTTCCTGGGCTCCCAGAGATGCTGACTGGGCAGCTGGGAGGCAAGCCTCACCATCTGCATTTGTAACCCCTTCCCAGAGATTCTGGTGTGCAGCCCAGGAGGCAAATGCTGGCGAGAAGCCAGGTAGAGCAGCTGTCTTAAGATCTGACGCACATGAGCCGCCTTTATCAAGCCCTAGTTTATATTTTTAAAATTAAACTGGGATTTAAGAAACTAAAGAAGAAGAAACAATAATGATGTATTAATAAACCCCAGTGACTCCCTTGTTATCTGCCAACACTGGATACAATAGGTGCCAAGCACTGTCCTGTGCTCTTCATACATACTAACTCAGGATCACATAGATGATGGACACTTAATCCTCATAATGCCCCAACTTAGTTTCTTCTCCTGTGCCAAGCTTAAGGAAGAAAGGGTTTATTCAGCTCACAGTTCAAGGGCCCAGTCCATTCATGGTGGAGAAGTCAAAGCACCAGGAGCTTGAGGCAGCTGGTCACATGGCACACACAATCAGGAAGCAAAGCATAGTGACTGCTTTCTTCGTTGGTAGAGTCTAGCACCCAACTCCATGGAATGGTGCTGCCCACTTTTAGTGTGAATCTTCCCACCTCAATTAACCCAATCAGTGTAATCCCTCAGGGCCATACCCAGGGATTAAATAATCCTCACAGATGTGCCTGGAGGCATTTCTCCAAGGTGATTCCAAATCCTGTCAAGCTGAATTAACATTGACCACCACACTCCCAATGTGGTTGGTGCTATCATCCCATTTTACAGATAAGGAAACTGAGGTTCAAGAATGTGAAGGTCACACAGCTCCAACGTGGTAGAGCTAGAATCAAGCACAAAACCTGGGCTCCCTTAGTGCTCTGTACTTCACCATCTCTGTTTGAGGACCCTGGAGCCTGAGCCAACATCCCACCAGCCCACAGACCCAGGGCCTCTGATGGGGTTTTCTTAGTTTCTCCCCTACAGAGAAGACTGGGCACCAAGAAGTTTACGAGTATGTGCGGGCCCCACACTCACTTTCCCTCTGAGCCATAGCTGTTCATGCTGTCCTCGATGGACTCGTGGCTGGCTTGGCGCAGTGTCCGGCTGGGCATCTCCACGGCCAGGCCTGTCTCAGTGCTTCTCTGGATGGCACCCTTCAGCCTCCGGTTGTCTCCTGTTGAGCACAGGGGTGAAGAGAGATGGGGAGAGTCATGGAAAACAGGGAGGACCGGAGACAAGTTGTCTGGTTAGTATTTCAGCAGCTAATGGAACCAAGCTCCCACCTAAAATCTAGCCCATCGGTGCCCTTGACCTACTGGCTCACTCTCCCTGGGGCACAAGTCCCTTTCACAGCCACTCAGCACACAGCACTGCCTGAGTCTGGTTAACAGATGGGTTCATTTACCTACTTTCCCCCGAAGCCTCCAATCATTCCTTCCTGCTCGGTAGATCATCTGAACACCACCTGTGGGTCACACTTGGCCAGATGCTCTGCAGGGTCAGACCAAAGCCTTCTCAAAGGCCAGTGTGACTGGCCCTGTGGGCAGTGTCCTGCCTTGTTGTGGGTGCTCATTCACTGTGGAATTCCTAACAGCATCTCTGGCCTCTCTTCACTAGATCCTGGCACCACCCAGTCCAGACGTGTCAAAAAAAAAAATGCCTCTAGACAATACAAACGTTAGCCCAAGGGACAAAATTCAGCCTCTCTGAAGCCAGATGGGCTGGGTTTAAATCCTGATGCCTTTCTCACTAGCTAGGAGACTGGGTGAACTACAGTCTGCCTCAGCACATGAGCCTCCAAGTGCTCATCCATAAAATGGGAGAACAGCAGGGTTATTACAGGAAAAGTGGCCTTTGTCCTTGGCATTTCTTCCCGAGATGCCTTCCCTTATCAGCCTCACTCATTTGCCAACATCCCTGAACTGAAGGCCTCTTGCCAGCTCCTGTCACTCTCAGTCCCTCCACCCCAGCTCAGAAACCTGCCCAAGTTGCCTGATCTCCCCACCAAACCCTGTGCCTTGCCCCCATGCTACTGTCCTGAGCTAACACAGAGTCAAGCATGACAAACAGCTCAGTCTCCAAGGGCTGAGGAGGAGGCTGAGATGTGCCTCAGGTCTGTGGCAGTCTGTAGCCCTCAAGAACTTTCCATCCAGACTCCTGGGCCTCGAAGCAGCTCGGCTTAGCTGGGTGCCTGGCTCTGCAAGAGGATGGCCCAGGCAAAGACCACTCATGGGCTGTTGAGACGTTAACAATGGGATGTTTGCCACTGTGTCCTACACACAGTAGGTGCACTCAGAAGTGGCCACCACAGAGAGAGAGTGACCTTCTGACACTTCCCAGGGTGCCTTCACCAGCCACCAATTCTTCTATCGGTCACCTCCTGCTGATTCTGTCCCAGGCTCCAAAGTGAGGTCAATGCTTTCCCAACTTCCCTGCCTCAGTACGATTTTTCTCAGGATTGACTGGAAGATGTGTTCTTTGTATTTTAATCTTCCTCACTTAGAGATGTGCCCCAGCTTGGGACTTGTTCCCTGCCATCTGGCCTTCCCTCCTGAGAGGAAAGACATCTTCCTCCAGGGGAGTCAGATCTACTGTCTGTCCTCACCACCCCACCTTCTCCCACTCCACGACCTCCTCCACCACTGTTCCGTCTGGGTCTCTGCCTTCACCTTCACCCTCTCACTCCTTAAAGTTTTGCTTTTTCCACGGACGAGTTTCTTCAGGGAGGAATCTCTGGCCCCCATCCCAGAGATTCTTATATTTTGCAAAGCATCACATAGCCCCGACTGCCCCATACATGGGTTTTCAAAGCTAGTCTCCACAGATCGCTCTGGTCCAGGCACAGGATCTTATCCTAGTCCCTGACCTTTGAGGTCTGGCACTCTCCTCCTCCAACTCATGTTTACACAGTGGCGTGTTGGATAGAGCTCTCAGAAAATGTTACATTCATGCATGTTGGTCTCCACTGGTACTGATGGGAGACAGGAAAGAATAGCCTGTTTCTGACTGCCAGGGACCCAGATAGAGCCTTAGTTGAACTGATGTGGTAAACAGTGTGAAGCTCACCTCAATCTCTTTACCACTTCTGTGAACCCCTCCTCACATCAGCCCCCGAAGATTCCCACAGTCCATGCCCAACACCTGTGATTTCAGGTTTTTGTCTTGGGCTAATGAGTCCACTTGACCAGCACACAGGTGGAGCTAGAAGGGTCTGGAAATGTGTGACTCCTACCCTGCTGCTGCCCTGATCTAAGCTTAACCCAAGACTAACTGGAAGATGATAACGGAACTCAAGTCAGGACGAGTCTGAGGCAAACGCAAGCCCTAAGCAACCACACAGGACAAGCACACTCTTGGTGGGAATCTGCTGGTGGGTACCCCTTTTCCTGCTTCTGCTCCTCATCCTGCTTCCCCAGTCTTCTCTGAGGAAACCTCACCTAACATAGGCTTACCTCAAGGGTCAAACTTCAGAACACACAGAAGAAGTTCCAGCAAGAGAACCACTACCCCTTCCATGGGTGGTGGGATAAGAGTCTCTGCTTGGTAGATGCAGTGCAGAGGGGGAAGGTGCCGCGTGGAGGGGGGAGATGCAAAATGGAGGAGGCCATGTTTTCCAGGGGTGAGGACTACAACACCTTCATACACAATGACCACTGTGGGGCTCCAAGTTTGTGTTCTGTAAACTGAGTACCCAAAGTGAAACCGACTACCCTTAAGGCTGGTCACTCTGATGCATGATAAACTGTGTTTGGATGTCCCATTTGTTGACTACCCACTCATCTTTGCTATACCCCAAACTCAAACTGCATAGCTTTCATTTTCTCCCACAAGGTTCCAAGTCCACCTTCTCCCAACTTGTGCAAGGGAGGGGAGGAGACAAGGGGAAAGGCATGTTCCACCAGGAGGCAGCAGTGACTCGGGGTGTGACTTGGGGCTAGAACGTGGGCAAGAGTGACACAGCGGCTGCTGCTGTGATCCCACAGTTGAGAGGGGAGGCTGGCAAGCAGCTGACCACAGTGATTAGTCACAGGTAAACTAAGTGCTTGGAAGGGCTAGTGCAAGACACAGTGAATGCATCTTTGGTGGGTCAAAAGGGAGGGGGACTAACTCAGGCCCCTGATTATTTCACCCTTTGAGCCAGAATTACTATAGATTCTCTCTTTCTTTGACATCCTTGACAGTGAATTCTGTTGGCTCTACACCTTCCTCTGGCTACTGCCTCTGTCCTTCACAGCCCCACTGCTTCCACATACATTAGGCCCCTACCATGTACCACTGGGTTTCCCCTCCTCCTCCCCCTCCCTCCCCTCCTCCTTTTCCTCCTCCTCCTCCGTGATCACTCCCTCAAAACCTCAAGACCACTTTATGCAAATGAGACCTACACCCCAGTCTTCAGTTCTTAACTGACCACAGCATGTGTCTAATCCAACTGCTTTTTGTCTACCACCACCAGGATGAGAAACAGGCTCCCTAGATTCAACCTAGACAAAATTCAATCCACCACTGGATTTTTTCCCTCAATCAACTTCTGATTCATGTCTCAATCTTTCCAGCCACCCAGACTCAGAATCTCCCAGGAACACACAGATCCTGCAAAATCTTTCTCTCTCATCTCTCATAACTACATCTTTCCCTTCTTGTCTTCACAGCCAAGCACCCATGCTACCTCGAACTCGAACTCTGAACTGGCTTCTGAACTGTTTCCAACCCACCCACTCACCAGCCATTAGTAGATTAAATCTCAACTTCGGGCTGTGGTAGTCCACTCTGACTAGTTTATTCCACGCCACTAGTCACAGAAGAACACGGAGCTATGCACGAAGGGTTCCCTATGGTACTGTTTACATCAATGAGATGCAGGAATTAACTGCCCATCGATGAAGGACCAGTTAACTAAATGACACATCACACAATAAAATACTGTGTAACTGTTAAAAGGAATCATCAATACCCACAGTGACATGGAATGGCTTCCTCAGCGTACTGAAAAGTTAAAAAAGCAGGTTGCAGGGCAGTATGTAAAACACAGTGCCATTTCTGTAAAGCTATAAATAGTGCTCGCTCTCTCTCTCTCTCTCTCTCTCTCTCTCTCTCTGTGTATGTGGGGGGGGAGAGAGGGGGGAGAGAGAGAGAGAGAACATTTTATGTATAGGCACAGAAAAATATAGGGAGAAATGAAAACTGCTAATGGTGAATAATTGTGGGAATTGTAGGGAGAAAGGATTGTGGGCTGTTAGAGGGAGTGTGTGCAAGATCATTTTATGTAACTTTTTAATCTAAGTATAAGTGCACAGACAGTAAGTGTAGAGCTTGGTGAATTTTTACAAACTAAGCATGCTCATGTGATCAGCACCCAGATTTTAAAAAACAAACCAAAGATCATTACTAGAGTCCCCAGGACCACATCTCTCATCGCCAGCTTCTTTACAAGGACCACTGACATGCTGACCTCTGAGGCCAGCTGTTACTTCTGCCTGATTTTGAAGGTTACATAAGGAGTGCACCTTTTAGGGGGAGGGAAGGGCTGGTTTCTTCTGCTCACTACCACCTTTGAGATTTATGCACATTGTTGTTGGTAGGTGTTTGATGGTACCACAGCTTTGCCTATTGCTTTGGTGGTGGGTGGACTTTTGCTGATTCGTATCAAGTTTGAGGCTATAAGGAATAATGCTGCTGTGATTGTTTTAGTGCAAGCCTCTTGGGGGAATATCCATACCTGCGTCTTTTGGAAATGTACCTGGGAGTGGAACTGCTGGGTCACAGGGTAGGTATTTGTTCCACTTCAGCTGACTCTGCCAAATAGCTGCACCAATTTAGACTCTAGCACATTGGGAAAGAGATTTTATTCTCTTTTGTACGCTTATTTGTCATTTGGATTTTTGTAGTTAATGTATTAAGTCTACAGTGTAAATGAAAGTGAAATACAAATAAATTCATAAATAAATCATAGCTAAAATCATGCCATGACCTTATTTAAAACCTGAGAATGGTTCTTCATGTCCTACAAAATTAATCATTGCACCCAGCATCAGAGACTCCACTGATTCCCTCCTGTACTGGGTCCTTCACAGCCTCTCTATCCTAGCCTGGTCCCCTAACCTGCCTGGGCACCTCACTGCTCCATGTCGATCCTCAATAACTTCATCCTAGTTCCCTCTCCGTTACTTCCCTTCC